CTTCATCATACGTAGATTCAGTTTCATAGTTTTCCATTTCCGGATCTTCAAATCTACTGCTTTTAAATTCAGGTTCAGAATTATCCACCTCAACTTCGTCTATGTCGGATTCATCTTCAGCATGTGCATTTGCGGTATGTCTCAAGAGGTTATATCTCGGTCCAAAGCGTTTGTCACACTGGTGACAAGCATAGGGTTTGACTGCAGAAATAGTATTCATGTTGAAGCTTTGAAGGTTAATCTCCGAATGGTAAGGAACGGATGAAATCATTTAATATATATCTACTTATTTGGTTACTCAATTCGTTACTCATTTACTCATTTCGTTACTCAATTACTCATTTCGTTACTCATTCACTCATTTGCTACTCATTCACTCATTTGCTACTTATTTGCTACTCATTCACTCATTTGCTACTCATTTGGTTACTCATTTCGTTACTCATTTGATTACTCATTCACTCATTTGCTACTCATTTGGTTACTCATTTCGTTACTCATTTGGTTACTCATTTACTCATTTGGTTACTCATTTACTCATTTCGTTACCCATTTACTCATTTCGTTACTCATTTACTCATTTCGTTACTCATTTACTCATTTGATTAAATGATGAGTAACGAAACTCATCATTTAATCAAATCGTCGTCCCCTTTTTAAATTGTCCAGGCCTCAGAGAGAGATTTACGTCTGGTTCTCTAAATATTTTTTTAAAAGCAAAATGATTTTTTCGCATAAAGTTTTCCCCTGTCTCTGAGAAAAAAAATGCCCAAATAAAATCTTAGCTCCGAAAAGCCTTTCCAGAGAATGATTGATAGCCGCATTGTTCCAATTGATACAATGCCACTCTTGTTCGTTACAAAGCATATATATTTGGGTTCAGCTGTAGGCCACCGAACTTTAAGGCCTTTGAGAACTTGCCGCCAGTAATTGGAAGATTCTTAGATGATAAACAGTGATGATAGTATCTCAGCCAATGAAATGAGCCGGTTCCCGGCAAATAAATATGCCATTGGTTGCTTTCATCACGGACCGTCTGTTTTCATGAATATGACTTCCTTCCACGCGCAACTGGAGTGATTAGCTATCTGAGCCACAGGTGCATGGCTGCATGCCCATCACATTCCAACCTGGTTGCTTAGAAATATTGTTGCTAGGAGGCTCCCCTGTGATGCCTGGGACTGCCGGTTGCGTAGCCAGAAATCTTGTATGTGACTATTTTGAAACCTTGTATGTGAAAGCGACAGCTCAGGAATGCTGCCGCTTTCGGGAAATTTGTGAAAATAGTAAAAATACCAAACAAACATCGATGGAAAAAGAGAATTTCTGCAAATTAATTCACAGAGCGTGATCTTCATTTTCTGTTTATGTATTTTCCATTGAAATGACGAGATTGCAAAACTCAAACCTGTGGAGAAACATCGCAGCGTGTTTCTGCAGTAGTGCAGAATTTTCGGCCACGTGGGATGGGCCGTTCACAGTGCAGCAATGTACACTGTCACTGACACTGCGCCGTGTGTACGGCGCGATGTACGGCCGACCAGACTGAATGTTTGCGGCGCTAGCGGCCGTGATGTACGTTAAGCATAATAGTGGAATGACCCACCTCAAATATATTTTTAATTAGGTGAGGCAAGTTTTAATCACTTTTGATAATTTTTGTGGCGTAAATGAGAATAATCCAGGCACAAAATATAAACGATTCCTTGCTTTACTACAACAAATATAGAACTGGTGAAATAATTTGTCCAACAATACTGCCGACGTTATTTTGAAAGGCATGTTATCGGAAGCAGAAGTGATTTAAGTTTATCATAGATTATCAGTTTGGAAACTGCATCTGCTATAGCTATTTGCAAAAAATTTTAATATGCACAAGGCACTTAAAAACCCATAGTTCAATGATAAATCCATTAGCTGTCTTAGAATTGGTTTTTGGAGAATTCGTTTGCTGAGAAAAAGTTATTGGACATGTTGGAAATTGTTTTAAACCTTTGTTCCAAGCTTGTTGGTAAAAGGAAATTGTATTCTTGAATTTTATATCTTCAACGCTGTGATTAGAAAGTCCACTGTTTTTGAGAAGTCAAGAAGCCTCCACAAAATTTTACTGTGATTCCTTTGCAAAGTTAAGGGTCGGAGAGTCACCTCTGTGCTGACGCCACCCGTCGTGTTTAGGGTACACGACTTAATACGTCCCCCGCAATCAAGGAATCACTCCCTTTATTCCCGTATATATCTCTTAAAACTACTCACGAAATGTATTTTTTTAAAGAAAGGAGAAGACCCTCCATAGTCTTCTCAATTTGTGGAACATTTAAAGAAGGTTTTTTTTTCAGTTACAGGGAAGGTAAAGTCGGACGGTGCAATTTCTTCACGGGGATGTACGTCTAAACAATATTTTAGATGGCCCAATAATAAAGGCTCAAAATAATGCAAACAAATGTGAAGTATTATTAACTTCTTTGTTGGGTAGTTGATAATGTTACTGTTGGGGCTATTGGTATACCTGCTCATGATTTTCAATATCCACACCCAAAAAAAATGGTTTTGGTTATGAGACATCCAACGAAAAAAAAATGCCAACTACCGATTCACGATTGTTACAATTGTATATAAATGTAGCCATCCTCGCTGATCTGACAGTAGATAACCAGTGGCCAGCTGTGGTGACATAGTTTAGCAGTGCGTCTTTCCTGAGATCAACCAGGTGGTGCCCCCCCCCAACATTATTTAGTCCATGGGTTGGTTGGCGGGTCCAGCTGGGATCGTTTATTCAAGAATATTTCCTTCAGTCACTCCATCAGACGCCACTGTTGTAAAATGTTGCACATTTCCCTTCAAATACACACAACTATCAAACATGTACATGTAACTCTAATTTCCGAGACGTCTTCTTCTCGATTTGTTGAGCATTTTAACAAGTTAAATCACTATCCATCTTCAACTATACATCGCCTGCAAGAGATGAGAAAACAACAAACATTATTTTAACGCAACATTTCCAAAGTCTCCTTGTAAATTTCAGTGTGGCCGATGTTTCTTCGGATATTATTTGAGCAGTTGCCATTATCCACCGTCGTCAACGCACAGGTCTATTGTACTACCGTGCTGTGGGCACCCAGCGTGACCATTTCATTGTGCTATTGTTAGGCAATTATGGGCGTGATCCCGTGGTCTGAACGGGGCCCGGGCGAACGCAGGCGCCTGGGGGGATTAGGAACAATAGGCCCGTTCCTCCCGTGCGCTCGCGTCGGAACGGGAAAAATCCTTTTGATCTCCTCCCTAAGCCGTGGCTTATATTCTGAAAATTACGGTAATCCCCTGGCTTTTAAGCCAGAAAGGGGGATATTGCGATAGTGTATTCCTTCTTTGTGTCTGTGTGGCTTTACGATAGAGGACATACACACCAATGGAGAACAAAAGATCCTTTCAGTCCTCGAGCGTTAGGTCTTTTGTTGAAAACGTCCTCGATTGTACGGTTATGTGCTCAGTCTACAGGAGAGTGTTATATTACAGGGACAAAGGGAAACACAAAGCATTGTCCTCAGGTGTATAGATATTCACGACCGGGTGTCTGTGGGTGTACATGTCTGTGTGATCCATTTTGGTTAGGTTAACTGTTTTGAACCAATTAATGTGCAGTGAGATTTCCCTGTCAGTGCTATTGTCGTTGGAGATCATACTGCCCAGGTATCGGAAATGTTCAACAGCGTTGAGTTGTCAATGGTTGGTGGCTATGTTTTGCACCACATAAACGGTGCCTGGAGCAGGCTGATACAACACCTCTGTCTTCTTTGTGTTAAAGTGGGAGAGGCTGACGAGATTTCCATCAGAGCGGGTCGTCAGATATGCTCCATCTGTGATGACATTGGAGCTGACCTCTAGGACATCAGCAAGGAAGAGTGTGAAATGGGTTTGGGCAAAGACGCAGCCTTGTTACAAACTGTGGCCAATTTTGAAGAGTTCTGAGGTGGCACTGGCTTTGGAAACCTGACCGTTCATCCCGTCACGGAAGCTGCGGATGATGTTGATGAGTTTTGCTGGACATCTGCATTTCTCCAACAGTTTCCACAAATGCTAGGCGATTAACACTGTTGAAGGCTTTAGAGAAGTCAACAAAACACATGAACAGTGCTCTTCTTTGCTCAACGGCCTTTTCTTGCCAAGAGTGAAGATCATGTCAATTGTGCCCCTGTTTGGTCTAAAGCCACACTGAGATTCAGGCAGCACGTCATTGGCAATTCCGTGCAGACGTTTCAGAATAACTTTTGCCAAGATTTTTTTCCCAGCAATTGACAGGAGTGTTATGCCATGATGGTTGCCCCAGTCATGCTTATCACCTTCATTTTTTAAATTAGGTTTTGCCCTTCACCGACGTATAAACACTGTATACTCAGTGTGTTACCTCCCGAGTGAAAGTTGGAAAAAATCACTCGGGTGGGACTCGAAGCCATGACCTCCTGCTTTCTAGTGCAGATGTCTTACCACTCGACCACCGAGCTAACAGGATCGGTTGACTGGTTTGAATCTAATGTACATAGCAGCGGGTACCGCATTAACTGTTAATGAGATTAGATTTTTGCGTCGGGTCGATGTAAATCAAATTCGCCCTTCACCGATGTATAAACACTGTATACTCAGTGTGTTACCTCCCGAGTGAAAGTTGGAAAAAATCACTCTGGTGGGACTCGAACCCACAAAGGGCAAAAGCTAATTTGATTTACATCACCCCGACGCAAAAATCCAATCTTATTAATACCTTTATTTTTGTCAGTAAATAATAAAATCCTAGAATCATGCATGGATTTTATTTTGGGGGCTAGACAAAAAATGGGGGGGGGGGGGCTCTAGCCCCTTGTATGTAATTATTTCTTAGGTATGTCAAAATTGTTATAAGAGCATTATTTTAAATACTGTACTTTTTTTTTGTTTCTCAAATCAACTGTGTTTTAATTGTCCATTCCAGCATTTGTTATTTCACGTTCCTCTTTTTCTTTAAGGACGTGGATTCCTTCTTTGAACATGAAAAGAACTTCCTAGTTGAGTACCACACAAAGGTGAAGGATGCTACTACTAAATCAGATAGAATGACGAGGTGCCACAAAGGTTAGTCGTAGAAGATTTTCCAGTGACTGTCAATAAACTGTTATTAATTTGTCAAAATGTTATTAATTTGGTAACATCACTAAAGTTGCATACCCCTTGCTCTTCAATGTTTTTAAGTTTGTGTGTTTTGTTTTAATGCACTAATCGCAGAGACCATAGGGCAGTGTTATGTGCACCAGGATGCTTGAGGGAAAGTCCGCTAAGTGATTAGTTTAGGACGCTGGAACAATAATTCAAAATCAGAAGCATAATAATTGGAAGCGGAAGCAAAAGTTTCACTTCTCAGATTGGAATATCAAATTAATTTAATCGATGTCTGATTTTATAAGCAAGGTAGAATTAAATGAACGACTATCAGTTCCCATTATGGCAAGTATTACACAAAATAACCAGTGTTACAGGGTCTAGGCTGTAGGATTGACTCCTATTTATCGTGGTCTACAATCATAAGTAACTTAAATTTCAGTACAAAATGCTGTTATCTTGAACCCAATACAATTCTATTCAATGCCTTCACTTAAATTCTATTTAAATTTCTTTTCATTCAGTTAAATTGAGTTTCAATACTTTTCATTTAAAATTTTAAGAACTGATAAGTTCTGTTAACTTCCCTTTAAATTTCCTTGGTACTCGAACAAAGGGAATGGTACCCCACAAGTGAAATCTTAGAAAAAGAGATAAAGGACAACAATGCTCAGGTCTGGAACTCCTATCCGCTAGATGTCTGTATCCCTCGTATAACTGTAGGTTAAAGTCTACTTCATAATACTACATATGCATATTTATCCAGCCGACAGTTTAAAATTTTAATCAACCAATGAGTGCTCTCTCGGAACCTACCCATCATGCCATGTCATGAATCCGCAATCATACTTCCTCTTTTTTTTCTGGCCATGGACATCATGCAGAAGCCAAAAAAATTTGCTCTTCCCTTTTGACTAATTCTTGTATAATTTGTTCGCTTCAAGGTTTCTGTTTGATAGAATTTATCAACCAAATGAGTTGTGTAGAATCTGTAGATTTTGATTTTGAGCAGTTATTTCTTAATTTGGAGTGAATTTGGATACATTTGCTCTGACCTTTGTCTGACAACGCATGCTGCGGGCCAGGTGGGCACTGTGTAGGGCTAACTCAGTGCGGATTAGGCAGCATGAGTTCTCCCTCCGGGATCAAGTGCAATCCCCTCTTTAATAGCCGAGTCGGCTTTCTTGACTTATTAATAATTCTTCTATATTAAAGTTATTTGATAATATCATATCTTGTAAATAAAAAAACCTTCTGCAGTGCATGTATTTATGATTTCATCAGAGATGCGACTTTCCAGTTCCAGCCGGAATTCCGGTTTTTACAAAAATCTCATAAAATTCCAGTTTTTCCAGCCATCAAAGTAAACTGGGAAAAAGAGAAGACAGACTGTGGAAATGCGTTGATTTTTACCTTGTTGGCGCTCTCGGATTAAGCACATTTAGTACGCGCATGCACAGCACATTGTGCATAATTGGTCCAGGCCCAGTCAGACCTGTATACAGACCCAGTCACAGCAAGCTGTTAATTGTTTTTGGCTGGACGTGCGTAGAGTAGAGAAATTTTCGATTACTCCGCAATTGATCATTTGAAACAGAAAGTATCAATAAAATAAGGCTGTGGTATACCATTTTTTTTTATCGAGTACCGCTTTTCGGGTACGAGTACTTTGTTTTATCGAGTACTCTATTCTACTGTGTTCTACTTACCCGTAGAGTATTACTACATATGCATTATTCCCTAGAGGGCCCCAGCCATACGCTAAGATTTATTACCCACAGTACCTTTCGGCCCGCCGGCCATACTTCCTCTTTTCTCTTAGCGGCGTTTGGAGAAAGATGTATTTTACAGAGCTCTCGCTTTGTAAAAAAAATCTTGTTTTTCCTCGGCCATTTCTATCGCAAAGATATTAGTTTTATTCTACTATATTGTTGTTTCTACAAAGTTTTTGTTATATTTTGGGTCAGTTTTTCGTGATATTTCTTTGGTCATTACAGGTACATTTCGGGATTGAGTCCTCGCACCGCACAGGTTGCCGGTCACTCACTCCCATTATACAGTTCTTAAGGTACGAGACCGTATGCCTGAGGCTTCGCACAGGTTGCAAGTAGCTCACGCGGTAACCATCTAGCGAGGCTTCGCGCAGGTTGCAGGCTGCTCGCTTCCACAATTACACGACCACATTTTTACCAAAGCACAGGCTGCTGGTAGCTCACGTCATATGGAGCAAGTGGGGCTTTGCACAGGTTGCTAGCAACACACTTTTATGCCCGCCCGATTGGACAAGGCTTTGCAGGGGGAGCGTCGCAAGAGTTGCAAGCCGCTCACCCAATGCTAACCGACCCATCAGCGTGATATTCGCTACTTAGCCAATCCCTCACACTGTACCGACTTGGAGTCTTTGTGTTCAAAAGGACTGCAGTTATTTACCCGGCGATACCGTGTTATTTAACTGGCAGTTACATTGTCTCACAGCTGTTTTTGCCGTACCGAATGAGTGAGACTACATGTATATTCGGGGGGAGTGTCACATGGATTGCAAGCCACTTTTCCCTTATACCTAGGTTACAAGTTACCGTCCAATCAGCGTGATATTTTCGCTAATTAGCAAATCCCTCATGCCAACACGAATGCCACTATTTGACTGGCATTTCGCTGTTATTTTTACGGCAACTTTCTTTGTCTCACAGCAGTGTTGCCATACAGAACGAGTGAGACATTACATGGGTTGCAAGTCTCATCAGCCGTATCGGCCGTATCTACGGCCCCAATAACCGGCGATGCCGGTGCCAGGGCCCTGCCTGCTCGGACGGTGATTCAACTTTGTTCACTTCAGCCTTTGTTTACTCTGAGTGGTTCAGTCACATCAGACTTCTTGGCTGCTTCTGGAGTCCCTCTACAATCTGAGGCTGATTTTCCTGCTAACATACCTTACACGATTTCCCGTCCACTGGACTCTCCAATCGTGTCGGTATTCGCCCCTAGTTCTTTCGGCACTCCTATGGACCTGCCGCTGAACCTTCCCCTGAAGACCAAGATGTCACCTCATCTCAGTCACTTCATGAGGCCGAGGCCGAACATGGAGAAGACTTTAGTATGCCTGCTTCCATGGCCACGCTCTATCGTTTGGTAAAACGAGACATGGCACATGTATTGGGACTCCCTGAACTCATGAAGCCTGCACCTACTACACAGCTGAAATCGTTCAAATGACTAACGGCTCCTGACTCACTAGTCTGTCCTGATCAAATGATTTGCTGAAATCCATCGCACAGCGCAACAACTGGGACTTTATCGACAACAGAAACATAACTTCGAACCATCTTGTCTCAGACGGTGTCCATCTCAACACCACAGGAGTACGCCTTTTGGCCAAAAACCTTCTACAGCACATAGCCGGACCACATATCGACGTATCGACATATCAGAGAACACATATCGACGTGCACCATCGACTGAATACACGCCGCAGAGAACACCTTTTGGTGCATTGTCGTACTCTGATGCCCTCAAGAAACCGATGGGAGCTAGCCCGGATTTTTCGACGGTTTTCTGGCCATCCAACCAGTACTACCCTCAACGACAACCGAAACGACGTCAGCCAATCCACTACCAACCACGACCCAAGCTGACTCAATCCGAGACACACAAAGCCCATCATCGACTCCAAGACCAAGTATGGAACCGATACCTGGAGAAGGTCGGAGAACTACTCAACCCACAGAGCACGATTCCAAAGTAAACTACCATTACTGACGACGTGCGTGATAAACTTGCCTCTGATTCTGGTCATTGGGCTTTGACTACATCCTTGTTCCCAAACACTGCTCAGAACCGTATCAAAACATTGATGGCGCTACTCGTTTGGGTATAACCCATACAGCGTTTTGCCGCCTCCTGTCTGATTCCACCATCCCGGCCGACATGCTAGGCTCTGCTTCGCTGTCTGGACCATTCACTTCCGGCAGTTCTCGGCGAACTTACTCGTGTTTGTCATCATAGCATAGAAACACTACGGGCAGCAATTTTGGATGCCATATTTCTGCCAACAGATGGAGCTGGCGAGCGTCTGGAGTCCCTTCTCTTCCTGGGACGAGACCTCTTTGGAGGCCATTTTCAGTCTCGCATGCAGGGTGAAGCTGATCATATCAAGGCTACAGAGAAGATTAATTTGGCGAAGGTTCATCCCAAACCGCCTCCCCAGCCCCGTCGGGCATTACCTGCAATATGAGGCTGGAGCATCCAGCAGCACTCATTGGCCACTGGCCCTTCCTGTCAACCCTCCAAGGCATTTAAACCCTATCATCCTCCGCCTCAGGAACTGGTCCAGAGCTTTTTGATTTCAGAATTTGAAGGCCTTACAAAATTGAAACCGGTGCGGCTTATACCCCGATGCGGCTAATTCTCCGACATCAAATTTTAATTTGCATTTTTTTTTGCGCTGCTGCTTATACTCCGCGCGGCTTATATTCCAAAATCCCTTCCCCCCCCCCCCCCTGTCACACTACCTCTTAGAGGTTTTCTACGGACATTATTCTAGAGGGAACTGAACACGCTAAGTACATGGGGACACAGACAAATAAAAACAAGGTGAACTCAATCTTGGGTTCTCAAAGTTATTCACTTAAACTATCTCTTATTCATGATCAAAATTTACAAATTCCCAAAACTATGATATAAAATTACACTCAATTGATCGAACTGAAATTTGGGCCCAGAAAAGTTTTAAAATCCCTAGTATTTGTCTCCAAATTTACAATTTCAAAGTTATATAATGGACGTCACAATTAGAAAGAGGATTTTACATGAGCTGCACTAAAATTATTTGAGATTCTAAAATTCAGTAATTAATGCATCCAGAAATCTAATTAGTAAAATAGCTCACGATATCTAGATGAGTTGTACCTGTATTTCAATTATTCAATTAAGATTACATGTCATAGACTACATGTCTACGAGGTGGGTGCCAGGGGATTTTTTTTTGGTGCTCCTTAAAAATGAATATGGAAATTGACGATGACAAATAAACACCCTGCCTAAAGTTAGCGCATGGCCTGGCAGCCTCTGCCACGCCGGAGAATGACAACAAATTTCCCGCAGCACTTGAGAGAGAATGCAACCAACCATGTGTCGTCTGACTGGAGCGCTGCAAATCTTGCTTTGTGGCAGCAGATGCTGATCTTTTTCCTAAGAATAAAAGTGGGGTTTTTTTTGCAACAAAACTTATCAAATTGTTGTGAATTACTAACGAGAACTAACATCAAAAAATCAAGTTTTCAAACGTACTTTCTTTGAAAACAGTCTACACACGCTGCATGCATTTTTATTGACATCCATTAATTTCATAAGGGGTCATTTAGCCCCTGTTGTGCATTTTACATCGCTTTGTGAATACACGCTTATGTACGGCAGTGAAACCTGGACGGGGTACAGCCTACATGTAAAAAAAAACTCGACCAGTTCCACCTTAGATATCTCCGGAAAATCTGTGGCGTATCGTGGAAGGACAAGGTACCTAACTTGGTTGTACTCGAGCGATGCGGAATTGAAGGAATCGAAGCACTTCTCATCAAAGGCCAATTCCGTTGGGCAGGGCACATTGTTCGAATGGAGGACAGCTGAATACAAAAAGCTCTCTTTTATGGGGAGCTAAGCAATGGCCGGCGCTCATGGTAATGAAACCAAGGATTCCTCAAAAGCGCCCTAGGCACTGTAGCTCGCAAGCCTGAAGAAACCTGTGGAGAGAAGACAATGAGAAGAAGTTACAGTTTTAGAGTAGGCAGTTCAGGTGATTCTTAAATGAAAGGGACAAGCACCTAAAATGAATACCATTTGACAGAGTGAGTCTTCATTAGAAGAAATCTTTTGGAATTTTTAAAATCGGTCATTGCGTTAGGGAGTTACGGGTAATTAAGTTTCGGAAAGTTTTTTTAGCCAAGAGGTCAAAGGTCATCCTTTGTTTTTCTTTATTTCTGTTTTGGCACCGAAATGATAATAAGAGGAATCCTGTTCTTTCTTTTATCCTTGTAATATAGTATCAGATTTGCTTGATATTTCGTTTACTCTTTATTATGAAAATATGCTTTTGAAAAGTGCAAATTTTTTTAATAATACTGTCCTAATTTGCATAATTAATTTACTAATTAGAGGAAAATTATGCATATTTTAATGTCAACATAAGAAATTCAAGTCAAAACAATTATCGCAATGACATTTCAAACAAGTATTTAAATTTTGGCTGTAGGGAAAGCAACTAGATCTATAATTTGTACATAATTACCAAATTTGCATAATTTATCAGCTAATTATGTGAAAATGAGGAGAAAAACATTTCCGAACCTAAATTTGCTCAAAAAACCTGTAATACACATGTATGCAGACAGTGTTGAAACAAATAGTTACTCAGATAGAGGTGTTAAAACCTGACTCAATTTTTTAATGATTTAATTTGCATATTTACAGGTACATGTATGTGAAAATAACCAATTTCACATCTTTTCTGGGAAAAGACATGTAACAAGTATGCTGAAGAGGTTTTCTTACTTGAATCAGTTTTGGGTTATTCACTGAAAATATATAGGGTATCTTTACTAGCTGTGAAATATTAGCATAATTACACATCTTGCATATTTAATTAGTCTTCTAAATACACTTGTACACACAACTCTAACTGTTATGGTTGTTTTGATTTTGGACAAACAGTGGTAAATGGCTCACACTGCCAATTCAAACGGAACTCATCTTTTGTAAAATGATTTTGAGGAATGAAAATGCATGAAGTCTTCCAAAAAGCCTCAACTAATTTGTTAATCAACTCCTAATACCATACAAATTGATTCAGAAAAGGGGGGAAAAATTATTTTCCTTTCTAGTCAGGTGGCTTAGATCTAATTTTCGTCAAGATCGTGACCGACTGGTCCAAAGCACCAAACTTGGCAGATAGATTCTTATAGACCTAGAGAAGATATTTAGAAGGGGTGACACCTGAAATTCTTTTGGGAAGGGTGCCTAATTTGCATAAATCGTTAATCCCTGTCGTGTAATATATTTATTCCCATATTTGGGTATATTTCTTTTTTTTAATGTTTTTGAAAAGTGTATTTTGGGGATTCTACTTACATATCTTTACTTAAATAACATTTTCCAAAGCATATAAGTGACTGAATAATTATGAGGACATAGTAACGATCCAAAATGGCTACTATTATGCCCTAAAATTGCGCGCATTTACCTTGTCTGCAGATATCATAAATTCGTCTTGCCAAACATCAGCATTGATGAACTTCAAATTCACCAAGTAGCTTACTGGTACAGTTACCATATTAAAACCTTATGCAAAATCATGTGAACAATAATAACATTGTGATATTTAGCCCAGAAAACAAAAACTGGGAAAAAACGAGGTGTCCATAAATTGGGCTAACAAGTAGATGAAGGGTTGCCTAACAAGGAACACTGTAACAAGTTCAAGGACATTCCCAAAATTATTGTTGAGAAAACGTTTTGGCGTAGACAAAATTATTGTAAACAACAATAATCTCTTATTTAGGGGGATTTCGTTGAACTTGTTCAAGTCCCCACGTTACCCTTCCCGTACTAGCCCAATTTACGGACACCACATTTCTCCCCTTTTTTCGTCTTTTGGGCTAAACATCAAGATGTTATCAATTTTCACATGATTTCCCACTTATTTTTGTTAGGGTAACTATGCCAGTAAGTAACTTTGTGAATTTGAAGCTCATCAATACCCACGTTTGGCGAGACTAATTGATGATATCTGAGGAAAAGGTAAATGCGCGTAACTTTAGGGTAAAATAGTAGCAATTTTGTTTTTTTACTATGTCCTCCTAATTATTCAGTCACTTATATGTTTTACAAAATGTTATTGAAGTAAGAATATGCAAGTAGAATCACCAAAATACACTTTAAAAAAAATAAAAAAATAAAAATATACCCAAATATGGGAATAAATATATTACACGGCAGGGATTAACGATTTATGCAAATTAGGCACCCTTCCCAAAAGAATTCCAGGTGTCACCCCTTCTAAATATCTTCTCTAGGGTTATAAGAATCTATCTGCCAAGTTTGGTGTTTTGGACCAGTCGGTCACGATTCCGACCATATGCCACCTGACTATTCCCAGTACCCCTGATGAACTGAAAATTTTTTTTTTCTTTAAGTCGCCACTTCTTTACTTCATTACTGAAGCTCCATCCACAACACAAAGACTAACTGTTGAACTTTTAACAATTACCGAGTGTCCAGTATGATAAGTTCCTTTTTCTTTAGATCTGTCAAAAGTGGAAAATCCCACTCCTCTTCTTCATCCCTATAATTAATGGAGTAGACATATGATTCGTTTCCTGTCGTCCAAAGTCTGGTTCATCGCCTTTGCTATCCATGGAGGATGAATCGTGGACTGAGGAATTGATGAAGTTTACCCACGAACAGATCTGTAGCGACTTCTGCGTACGGTCATAAAATCAGTGCAGTGGCAAAATCTACGAACGAAGAAAAAGAAATCAAAAAATAAATATTAACAAAACGTCCAAACAAGTTATAAACACAATATTTGTTATGTTACTTAAGTACTGAGTCCATGATTTTATTTTCAATAAAAATGAATGACTCAGTCAGTGGTCATGTTTTGAAAATTTTGTGTACTGAAATATGCCTGGAAAATTAATTTCAATCAATGCCAAAATTTCACGCAAACAAACTTAGAAATGCTTCAAAACTAATTATTATTTACTGTAAATGAAGATATCATTTCAATTCATGAAAAAAAATTGAAGCTCGGAATAAACTTTGTCAGAATCGCACAATCTTCGTTCACCCAGCTCACACAGCTTAATGCCTTATATTGGAACGTCCATTTCTAAACAGGGGTAAACATTTCGGTTAAATTGTTTTTAGAATAATCTACGTGCCAATTACGTTTAAATATGAAAGTTTTTTGTTCAAAAACTTTACAGGTGGTTTGATTGTTATTAAACTGATTTGTGATATCCATTTACTGGTAATCATCGGAAAATATTCCATCACGAAACGTCTACAAAAACAAATAACTCTGAAACGCCCCCATTCAAGGAATGGTATCGGCCATCGTGAGCGAAAACTAACAACAAAAGTAACGAGAGCAGAGCAATTTTTAATCTGTAAAAAAAGCGAAAATATCGAAATTAAATCAAGAATTACAGTCAAACCAATAACAGTACATTAATGTACAGTCATGAGAAAATCATCTTTTAAGTAGAAACCCGATTGAACGCATGGTTTTGGCGTTAAAAATCTGTTGCAATTTTCCAGACGGCACGCATAGCGCATGCGGCTGACTGGACCACGTGCGCGCACACACACACAACACCCGCCGCAGAATGAAGCTTCCGTGCGGCGTGGTCGGTGCACTGTGCACGGTCGCTGCCGCGTTGTGGTGTTTGCTCAGACCCCGAAAACCACCCCTCAAAGAACGGCGTTTCGCTTAAAATCCCTCAATCATATGACATTTATATTTTGATTTTCTAAATCTATAGTAAACACTCATATATACATACCTTAGTGCTTTACGATTCGTCCTCTCAAAATGTGAATTTTGACGGTCGGAAAAATGTAAACTTGGCGATCAAGTGGAAGCCATTGATCGATTTTCAAGCACTAAAGCCGAAAGATGCCGAAGGTCTTCTTCTTTCCGATGATGACGTATTCTAAGGGATTGGGCCAATAGGAAACTAGCGAATTTCAACCGAATGCGACCGATCTAAAAACCCGAGTTTGCGAAGTGGCCGAAAGTGCGTGCCACGGACTGTGTGTTGGCCGGAAGTAGCGGATGCCATAGGATTTGTACAGCGATGTGTGCGCTATGCGTGTAAAGGTATGTGAGCACAGATTTCGGCAGCGGAAGTGCTTGTGTGGCTGAAGTGCCTATTTAGAGGTGGGAGGAAAAGCCCAGAAGAATATTCTGGGGAAAACCCACGGAATCAGGCAGGGACTGAAAACCCAATCCACATATTGGCCCAGGCGGGATTCGAACCCGGGTCACAGCGGTGGAAGGCGAGGAAAGTACCGCTACGCCAACCTGACTCCCCCCGGCCATACGGTCTCCTTTACCCCAAGCCAACTAGTTAGGGCCCCTAGTTCCATCACCCTCCCCTACTTAGGCACCAATTCTCATCACATCCAGCGCATCCTCCAAAAGCATGGAATTCGAGTCTTCCACACATCCCCTCTGAAGATGCAGAACCTGCTGACTTCACACAAGGATCGCTGTGACCCAGAATGCAGACCTGGGGTGTTCAAGATTCCATGTCAATGTGGCAAAGTGTATATCGACGAGACTGGCAGGGACCTCCCCACCAGACTCAAGGAACACAAAGCCCATGGCAGGAAGGAAGACTTCGAGAAATCTTCCATTGTCAAACACTCCCACACCGAGGACCACCCGATCAACTGGAGCTGGTACCTCTGACGCATCAGAGAAGCCATCGAGATCATCAAGCATAACACTGTTCCCCAAGACATCGGTTTCTACATCAGCGACATCTGGCGCCCCATCCTCAAGTCCAAGTCCGATGGGTCTCCTATACCCTAGGACAACTTACATTCAGTTCTCGCCTATGGGTCAACTATACCCTAAGCTCCTTCCCCTTTGCCCCCTAACTGTGTACTGACATGCTCCAGTGATCATCCAGCATCCTTCAGTCAACTTGCATCCTTCTCAGCTTCACCGGTTTCGAGCTTCACCAGTTTGCATCCTTCTCACGCCTCACCGCACCCATCCTTATAACATCGCATCATCGTTGGAATCCCTCATTCTCCTGACGACGGGCAGAACATACTGTTCGAAACATTGAGTCCCTCCGGTTCTTTTCAGAACCACACATACTCACAAAAAAGATTTTTTTCACATGGTGCTACCGCAAACTTATCTTGTCTTAGTATCTTTCCACCATGCAAACCTTCAAAACTCATCTTCATCAGGTTAGGTGTTCAGCACCCTTCTTTAGATTTTGCCACGTTTGTTGCTTCAAACGAACAACGGGATCAAATTACGAATGATTGACTGTACCTTTAATACCATTGCACCAGCAAAGTATCAAAACTATACCGTCCTGGAGGGGTCAAGTACAGCTCTGACATAACTCTGGTACACAATGAGTAGGGAAATCTGGGCCTTGCATTATACTAAGTAGCAGATTATGCATGTTAGTTTTAACTTCGCATTACTATTCCACCTGCAAATAATAATTGTTGAGTACTATCTTTTCTCTCTTTTTTTCTTCCAGACGTTGCAGCAGCCTATATTAAAATATCAGGGGGACTACTTGGCCTTGCTACTGCAGAAAAGACAGACTTGGATAAGTAAGTTTCCTAGGGCTGATGAATGCCCTCTCGTACATTTTAAGAAAACACAAATGTGTAGTAACAATCAGACAAATACATGTATATTGTAATGGGAATTCAAGGCTTGATCTACCCTGGGGTACAACGAATCCCTAAAAACCTGACGGGACTAACCTGGAGATATCGGTTATGTTTGCCAAGCTAGTGCTTGCCCGGGACCAGTGTTGAGGGTGCCGTCATATACCTGACCCAAGTCGGGTTCTTCTGGAAGTGTGGCTTGGTAGCGTCTCTTTCATCAAGGCCTCAATGACATTATGGATAGGGAAAAGGGGAAAGGAAGGCATTGATCTATAACTTGACGCACAAATGCAATAGAAAAAGGAAGGCTGGGGTGAGGAACGTCATATAGTTTGGCTCTGTCTTAAAGTTTGACCCTAAAGTCTGGCCCTAAAGTTTGACCCTAAAATCTGGCCATACAGTCTGGCCCTAAGATCTGGCCCTACAGTCCGGTCCTATAAACAGGGATGTGATTTCTCCGTTTTTTTCCGGAAATCCGGTTTTTTGGGGCCTCAAACGTGAATCGTGTGCATCCGTTGAGAAAATAGGGGGGTAGAATGTGGTAATTAATTATTCATAATGAGAGTTGCTTGCCGAAATATCCAAAATTTACTTACGGACATTACTTCGTTGATCGATATATCTTTTAATGCACGCACATATTTAATACCCAGACCCAATGTGAGAACGAAGTTGAAGACTATGCGTTGCCGTTAGCGCGATCATGTGTTTTTTCGCTGGGGTCCGAGGTTGTGATTATTTAGGTCTAGTTCCTGTGTCGGTACTTGAGATGCACGTGTTGCGCTGGTCAGGTATAGACTAATAATTACTCAGTGTGCAGGCCCTGGACCCCACGCCGTAATGGCTTCACGCTTCGCGCTCACCGCAGTTTGTACTTCATGCATAAAAGTTTTTTGTCACAGACCAATCACATCCCTGTATAAAGTCTGGCCTTAAGTCTGGCCCTAAAGTCTGACCCTAAAGTTTGGCCCTAAACCTTTATTCTGAGGCAGATTCCCTAGAAAGACAATTACTGACATAAATAAGTCAGGCGGAAGCGAAAAGTGGCTATAATTCACAATCAATCTTCATGTTTGTGTTAATCAATAACCATCAAATAATAATAATTAAACACCTCATCAGAATAGGTCACTTAAGTTTGCATACGCACATTCTGATTGCAGCTGCTTTAACACAGTGTGCAAATTGAACTGATAGAAAGTCTAATATAAAAGCGAATAGTTTGCTTTGTGTGCGGAACTTGCACACACAGTACATGGTGCATAATGGATTGAACTAGCTCTTGGTGGCCGTCGTCATATGTTGTTTCTTGTTCCGTGGCATCGGTATTATTCTGTTAAGGAGAATGGACGAGGAACAGTAGATTCGTGCTTCGCCTCGTCCATTCTCGCATGAATTTACAGTTCCGAGTCTATTCTCCAACTTTACCTATTTCTTAAAACAATAATAGTTTATGCAAATAAGTCACCTGATTTTCCACAATCTCCACATTTGTGAATCAGTGTAGATTCGTACATATATAATCTATTCTACTTTGCCTGGCCCTGTGCTTTCATCATGACAAGATCCTATTGTTAACCCTTCGGATGGGTGCACATGTTCTGTTCCATTCATCACATTTGTCCTGGAAAACAAGTGCTATAGTTACTGGTGTATCCGCTCCGTTCACAAGTACCCCCTCACCGGCAAAGAGAGTACAGTTGGGGGTGGCCAACCGACGCCATCTTGCCCGACTGCAATTCATTTGCCGCGAAGCGCGGCCACTGCGTGGACAAAGTACAAATCCCCTGGTGTACGTGCGTCACACACAAGGAACGGTGCGCGTTAACCAGCGAAATGTCCCGCCCATCGGACGTCGTTGTTAGGTAAAAGGGCGACCTCTTTTGGTAGCGCATGGAGCTCATAGTGCGAAAACACAACTATATTCCTTACTCCCAAAGCCAAATGGAGTTTATACATGTTCGTTACAGCTGCGGGATTATACTAGATTCTGAAAACATTTACATGTACATGCTTTCGATGTAATAATTTAATCTGCTGCTATAAGGAGTTTTAACACAACCACAAGAAACAGTTTGACAAGCAACTCTTTTGTGCACAGAGGTCTTTGATTTGTGGAACCATGTGTCATTGCCCATTCAATGGAAAAACCACATTGTTTACCTTGATATTTATTATATGGAGTACACATCGGAATATCCATGTCACTCACCACAGGAAATAACTTTGTTTGGAAAATACATTACTGTGGAATATATTCTGAGAAGTATTGATTTGGTAAGTTTCATTTGATTTCTTTAGTTATTCGTCCACTCTCTTTAGGATTGTCCTTTCGTTAATGGTCTTTTTTTCACTGGCCATTGATAAATAGATTGACAAATAATGATAAAACTAAAATTAAATGGGTTAAGACTAGATGTGAACATAAATTTTATCCAAGGGATATCCACTGATTCTTTTTTTTTAATACTGTTTCTGCCTTGTCCGTCCGTGTGTGTGGGTGTGTGTGTGTGCTCTTGTATTGTATTACGCTCGAGGACAGACAACAAAAGGAGCACAAAGGGGCCTTTCATCCTCGGACGACGGTGCCTATTGTCCTCAAATGCCGGTTTGTGCACTTAGTCTATGGGAAAGGTTTAGATAAGGGAACAAAGGAAAACACAAAGCCAATCCTCGGAAGCATAGCAAAACACGACTGTGTGTGTGGGTGAGTTTGTCTTACATACGCAGTGTGGACTTCCGAACAAAAGACGTCCACATAATGTAGGTAGCACCGACGTTGTGTGGACTTACCCCACGTCCACACAGTGTTTCCCCATTTCTGGAAAACAGGTTTAGAGGCATTTTTGGGTTAGGTTTATCTGTAGCAGAATGAAGAGAAACACTAAAGGGAATCATAGAAAAAAAATTGGGTTGAAAGAGTTTTCACAGTTTGAGAAAAATGAGTTTTTTCACTGGTTTTTCTTAACTACACGAAAGCAATGGAAAGTCCACACTAGTCATGTGAAACAAGTATGGGTGTGCGTGCGTGGGTGTGGGAGCCAATATACAGTTCTTAATATGACGTCACATGTCATGTGAAGACGTCATCATGATATCACATAAATTTTCATCTACAACACATCCCGGTTTAGGTACATACCAAGGTGCTGGTCTAAGACTGTGCTGAGTATAAAGGCAATCGGATTGATTTTAGTGGCCAAAGTGCCCTGGACAAAAAAAAAAACGTGTACAAATGCAATGGGCAAAATGACTGAAAAAGAAAAAAACCACCTAGATTTAACTAGAGGTTCGCGTTTGTTGTTACAAATGCAGAGTGGTTGGGCAGGCAATTTTTTTCATGAAACACTGCCAAGTTAAGTTATGAATATGTTGATGTAAGAACAAAGCATCACAAAATTAAATCCTTTCCATCACAATAAATTATTTTGTTTAAAAATGCATCTTTAACGGTGTGATAAATTTCCATAAACATGTTATGTACACATACAAGTTATTTCTGGCTTGATGACGTCATTTTAAAAAAATTGGGAAGTGAATACTGATTTAGGTCGGAGTGGTTAAATGTTTATTGTGAAGTAAAATAACGTATATGGAAAATATAATTGTATGCATTTATACCATCTAACTTCCGGTTTCATGACGTCCCTAGTATTTGGAAGCAAAAGGTCAACATTGTTATGGATATCGTTATTTGGGCTACAAAGATATACGACATGGATCAAATGATAGAATATGATCGTTTTCATCTTCCGGTCTGATGACGTCATGAATTTGAAACCTTGCCACGTCATCTGTGGTTAATCAAAGAATATCAAGGGGCGATTTGGTAAAATTAGAACCAATGGTCTTCAAATTAAAGAAAACAAACACTATTTTATGTGCCGCTAGGGGGCACCCTTTTAGTCAGGCAGCTTAGTGAATGGATGTGGAAATTCCGGACAAAAGCGCCAAATTTTCTATACATGCTCCTTAGCTTTCAGTTTTTGATAGAAACCAACTTATCAAATGACATTATGGCGGCCATCTTGGATTTAAAGATGGCTGCCATTGGAAACCTATTTTTACCCATGTCTCATCTTCTAAGCCACTTAGGATTAAAGTTTTGGTGTCTAAACATACATTTTCAGGGTAAAGGAATGCAACTGTACCATTTGGGATAGTGTCAAATGGTTTGCTTGTCCAGATACAGTATTGTTGCCATCTTATTTTTGAAGATGGCCGCCGGCATTGAAAACTACATGCACAAGGCTCGAGGCTAAAAAGTCATAACAGCTCGGGTCGCAAAATTTTTTTTTAAAGGCTATCGCGGAAAAAGTCGAGGGGGAGGGCGGATTCCGCGCCCCCCCCCCAGCCCCTTTAGGGTTAATGTGTCACCACAACAAATCTTCCCGCATAAGTTTGCAAAATTTCACGCCCCCCACCCTTTTGGAAAATCCTGGATCCGCCCCTGTAGCGTAAACTATTTTGTCAAAATTTGCCCTTAGATCACTTGTAATTTGATACCCGATGACGTCATGCTGACGTAACAAAATGTATAACATCTTCATAACATGGTACAAGTTCACACAAGGTTTTGTGATTGTACCGTAAACTGTTCGGAAGAAATTTTGCTTTATTTTTATTTCAGGCTAACGTCTTCATTTTGAATTCATCTAATTTTGACCTTCCGGTAGACCCGGAAGTAAAGGTCAAGTGAGTTCAGGTACACAATAAAAAGTGTTAAGCAATTAATGGTCTATCTGATTCCAGAATACAAACATCATTGGTTTTTTTGTTCAAGAGTTATAGGTGAAAGTAATTGGTCACTTTTTCACCTAAAATCACTTGTAATTTGACACCTGATGACGTAATCATGACGTCAGAGTAAATGCATCACTTCGGATGAGGGTCGATATATTTTGAAAGTTACAAGTTTATACCATATAAACGCGGGTTTT